GCGCAGTTTTAGCTGAATGCGGCTCTTTCCGCAAGGCTGGTTCTAGGGCAGCCGGGCTCCTCCAGGACACTGGGCAGTTGCAGCAGGCCCCCCTTGCTCAGGGCAGTAAGGACAGGCAGCCAGGCTGCCTGGAGAGGGAGCAGGGGTCCAGACAGCGTCTCTCAAGCATTCATGTGCACATGGATCCACGTGGGACGTTGGTAGACACAGGTTCTGATCAGTGGGTCTGAGTGGGGATCGAGTGTGCATTCCCAGCAAGCCCCCGTGTGATGCTGGTGCCGCTGGTCCCTGGACCAGACTCAGAGTAGTGAGGTTGTACTTTGCTTTCCTGGAGAAAAATTCTATTAATCTCTTAAAATTATAGCAACAACTATCAACCCAGGATTCATTACCCTTTAAAAGCAAAGGGCTGCCTTCTTTAGAGCCCGGCGGTTAGGGTTGATTCAAACTCTACCTGTGTCCTCTTGGGAGAGTCATTTCAGTGTCATGACCCTTAGTTTCCTCCCTCTGATATGAGGCTGATGATACCTAGCTACTGGAATTGTTACGAGATTTCTGTGAACTCATGTATGTAATGCCCCCCCCCCCGGTGAGTTCCCTCTAATATCTCCATTCTGGGTGCTTGGGAGGACTTCAGCCCAAGGAAGGAGCCCAGCTGGGGAGCCGCCTCCTCAGGTACTGTCCCCACCCACTTGCTAGCTCCCCGGGCTTCCTCTACCCCCATGTGAGCAGGGCCGGAGGAACTACCGCTGCCCCTCCTTTAAAATGTTTACTGTAGAGCTCCTGGGGGGTAGGGCCCGAGATGAATCAAAAGTGGCCTTTTGGTCCCAGCTCCAAGAAGCTCACAGTCTAATGGGAACCAAGTCAGGGATAGCTTATCACAACAGCATGTAGGAACTCTTCCTTAGGAAAGGAATGCTGGGGAAACTTGAGGCAGAAGAGGAAGTAACTCTGGGGGACCAGCATCAGAAAAATGCTTTCCAAGAGAGAAGACGCCCAAGCTGGGTTTTGGAGGATGAGTAGGAGTTTACCATGCTGCTTGGAGGGGTGGAGGGGATGGCATTTTAGGCAGTAAGAATTCTGGTGAGCCAGGGGGGCCAGAGTAGAGGGCCTGTGTGGGGAAGTGGGGCTGAGGCTACCAAGGCAGGAAGGTGGGCAAGGAGCCCAGCCTTTACCTGGCAGGGGGTGGGGAAGCAGGACTCTGGTGGCCCGAGAGGCTCGGCATTTTGGTGTCAAGAAGGAAGGAGTTGGTTGTCAGATGCACTAGAGAGAGATCGAGAAAGCTTAGGGCTAACTGCCGGGCCCTTCGGATGCAGCCCCTAGGACGTCACCAGTGCCCTGGAGGAGAGCACTTTTCGGGGGCAAAGGGGACAAGAAGTAAAGAAGAGTAAGTACGTGAAGATTCCTCCATGAATTGGGTGTGAAGGAAGAAAAAGATGAGCGAATTAGACGAGAAGACCCAGGGGAAGGAAGAGGGGAAAGTGCTGTGCTGCCGACAGGATTTTGAACCTGTCTGCTGGTCCCCCAGAATGCCAGCGCTTAAGGCTGCAGACCTTAGTATTAACAGTGAGTGACAATTAGGGCACTACTTGCTAATGTTTGTTGAACTCTTCATGAACTAGGGTTTTCTATACATGAGGTCAGCCCCGTGAGGCAGGGACAGTCATTGTGCCCATTTCACAGGTGAGAAAACTGAGACACCGTAAGATTAGGGACTTGCCTAAGGCCATGTGGCTGGGAAGCGATGGGGCTGGGATCTTAGGCCAGGCCTTTACCACCCTGTGCTGAGCAGCACCATCACAGCTGCCATCTCTCAGGGACTCCCAGCCCCGTCCAGACTTGTGTCCCTACCCCAGCACTTGGGTCGGGGGTTCCAAGACCCCCGGGGTCCAGCCCCCTAGAGGTCTGATGGGGAAGGGACACCCAAGTGCCTGGCAGCCCGCTCTACGTGGACAGTTCCTGATAGAGAGAACCCACAGAACCAGGGCCCAGCTAGCCTGGTCCCCACAGCCCACGCCATAGCGTGCCACTCGGTCCATGGTTAAACACAGTCCTGCTCTGGAAAACACACTTGTGGCTGAGGTCACCAGAGAGACCTTCCCCATTGAACCTCCATCGTTGGGCAATTCAGCTTCCGTGGCACTTCTGAGTAATTCCGGTGACTTATCTCTTCTCAGATAAGAAGAATCTTGTATCTTATCTCAGAGCCACCTGCTCTGCCTGGAATGAGGCCAGCTCTCCTCAGTGAGCGTTGCCCCCCACTCCCAACAGCAAAACTGTGAGGTGCAAAAATGGAGAAGCTGCTAGAAGGAAAGGGGCAGGGGAAGCAGAGGAAACAAGAGCTCCCCCTCTCCTGGCACAGGGCGAACAAACACCCCAGTGCATGTTGACCTTGGCTGTGTGACCTTGAATGAGCCAGATGCCCTCTTTGGGCTGCAGGTTCCTCTTTGTGCAATAACAGATCTTCGAAGTCCCGATAATCCAGGTGTCTGTAAGCATGTAGAAATATTTTGCCTCAGGATGACATGCAAATGTTTTCCTCCTAATTCCACGTCTTCCTGAATCTGTGGCTTCCTCTGGGTGCCACCCCACCCCACGTTCAGTGCCAGCCTTTTGTTTCAAAGTCAGAGAGACCCAGCTGGGTAGACCATGAGCCAAGGGCTATGACTCACTCCCAGCTCCCCACAAGGTCCCTTGGGTTTTGGGACCTCTCTCTGGGGCTCCATGTGGCACGGGGCTGTGCTGGGGCTGGCGGGCCTGCAGAGACCTGGGAAGGCCTCTCCTCTCCCAGAAATGCATCCTTTTCCACACCCGGCGTGACAGTGGAGGGCACAGTGCGGTTTACTCCTCTAGTTTAACACTGGTTTCTGCCCCAGGAGGCTCAGCGGACAAGGGAGGTGCAGGAGGACAGGGGTGCTGGCTGAGGAAGGCGGAGCGATGCCGACAGCCCCTTAGCCAGGGGGCCTGCCTAGCCCTGGTGAGACACCAAAGCATGTGTGCAAAATAAGCGTGTGTGGGAAAAAAACCCAAAAAACCACCAACAGAAAACCAAGTGCGTGTGTAAAAGCTCCTCCTTCCTGGGGAGGGGCGAGGATAAAGTGTTGAAGAGACCAGCCCGGCCTAGAGGGCAAGTCCAGCATCATTCTCCAGCCCCGAGGCACTGAGCGCCTGCTGTGTGCACCACATGGCCCAGGCTGCGCCCAGCACCTTCCTGGCACCACAGCCCCTCAGTAACCGGCAGGCAGCTGAGTCACCCGACTCTTGGAGGAGAAGGCGAGGCCCATAGAGGTGACCAGCCTTGTGGCTCCTGGACCCACTCCCAGGCAGTGTGGTCTCCTGGGGGGTCCCAGGGAGGCAGGTGCAGAGGAGAAGCATTTGCTAGACTGAGGGGCGGTGTGGGGAGGGGGGGGATCTGAAGGGAAGTCATAAAGGTGTGTCGTGGTCTGCCTCACATGCCTTTCCTATGTTCAGTCACTCGGACTTGCTGCCCTCATGCATGCTCCCAGGCAGCTCTCCGGGGATAAGACAGCCATCTGTCCCCATCAGCCAGGGTCGCCCTGGACAAAACACCCGAGCCTCAGTCCTCTGATGCTGCTGGGAAAGGTGTGAGGGGGCTTTGGAACTCCCACACCTTCCTGCAACAGTGCTCTGGCCCCAGCCAGCACCTCTCCCCTCCCCTCCCACCCGCTCCCCGCCAAGGAGTGAGTCCAAGGAGAGCGCCAGGGCCTGCCCAGGTTAGGGCTGCTGCTTCTGGGAGGGGTTGGCTCCGCTGGTCACGCCCGGGAGGTGGGGCACGGGAAGGGGGTCCCCTGCCCGGGTATGTGCACTGTCCCTCTCAGTCAGTGTTTGGTGCTAGTGCTGCTGGAGCCCCTGGAGGCCCTGGAGCCCCTGGAGGCCCCGGCTTGGCGTGCGGCAGTGCAGACACCCCCTCGCCCTCCTGGAGCCGCAGGCTGAGGAGGGGCTCACACGCAGGGCTAGGTACTTAATCTGCCGTCAGCACTGCTGAGACCACATCATGGGGCAGCCTGGGCTGGGGAAGGGGCAGCTTCCCTGAGATCAAAGCGGGAGTCGGGGTCCTTGAGGCAAGCCCTCCAGATACACTCGCCCCGTAGGCTCAGGAGGAGGAGAAAGGGGCAGAGAGCATTCCAGGCAGAGGGAACAGAGTAAGGATGTATGAAAGGCAGTAGAGGTGGGAGGCTTCAAGTCTGGAGGAGTGGGCGGTGGGAAGGAGACAGGATAGCTGCCTGGTAGGCACCCTCAGCTGGGGGGGGTGCCAGAGAGAGAAACCGAGGCAGAGTGTGTCACATGAGCACTGGCCAGAGTTCCCTAACCTCTGTCCCGTGCCTGGCTTGAGTTAGTAGGGAAGTCTGGGATACCTCTCTCACTCCCTTTGACCTTTCCCAGACCCGTCCCACAGTTCCCTCCTCCAGCAAGCCCCTGGGATCGCTCGGACCGCTCAGATCTCACTCTTGAGTGCCTGCAAGCTGCATTTTATGAAGCTCCTGTCCTGGCTTATTTTGCTATCCTGTGTAATGAGCATTTGGAAAACTATCTCCCTCAGCACCAGGCACAGAGCCAGAGTTAGAAAGTAAATAAGGGATCAACTCAATCAAACCACTCATCCCCTAAAACTCCCGGAGACTAGCGCTAGAGTAGCTGCATAGGAACTAGGGCGCCCTGGGCATTGGGGGCAGCAAAAGTGTGCTGAATGAATGAAGGCGTGGACGAAAGCGGGCGTGGAGGGGATTGGAGGCACTGTGGACTGTTCTCGAGGGCAGTGGCCCGTTTCCTTCCCAGGGGAGATGCAGTTAGGCGAGCATGGGCATCGGTGCTGGTTTCTGTCCTGGTTCCACCAGGCCAGTCAGCTGCCCCCTCAGAGCGGCTCTGGGTTCGGTTCCTTCTGTTCCTTGCCACCCAGGAGGCCGCAGTGTGAAGCGGCTGTGCCGAGGGGGGCAAGGTGAGAGCGAGTGCGAGTGGGGACGCTGTCTCCTGGTCTGCAGGATGGAGAACCTGTTCATCAACCGCTTCATGCACATGTTCCAGTCTTCCTGGAGCGACTTCGCCGATTTTGAGAAAATCTTCGTCAAGATCAGCAACACTATTTCTGGTGAGTGTGCTGACCCCTTTCTTGGGGTCTCTCGTGGGGCTGGAGAGACTTGCCTGGGACTTGGAAAGGGCTGCCCCACCCCTGCTTCAGCATGGCAGCTGGCTCCATGGGCTGGGCTGCCCTGGCCTCCCCATCAGCCAGGCCCGCACCCCTGCCCGAGCCCCCGCGGTTCCCCAGTGACCCTCATGCCCAGAGGTTTCCCCTCCTTGGACATTCAGGGCTAAGCACCCTCCAGCTCACTTCATCATCAAAAGTCTCAAAAGTGTCAGAAATTTGTGTTTACATGAATCGGTCATTTATGATACTTCTGAACAGAGTGAAAGCAGAACTTAGCTTGTTTTTTAAGCATTTACAGAAAAGTGACCTTGGGTTCCCTTGGCCTAGGATGTGTTCGGTAGGTGTGGGCTTGCAATAGCAGGTTCATTGCCAGGGAAGGCCCAGGAAGGAAAAACAGCGAAGGTAAGGAAACAGGAATGATGGATGAAGGGTGGGTATTGAAAGAAGCACCCGGGGAAATCTCCCTTTGCAAACTCCTCCCCAGGAGGCCCCTCTACTCCCTTCATTCTCCCTCCTTCCTCCCCCTTTTGTTCTCTATTCTCTCCCCCTTCTCCCCATCTCCCTTCTCCCACTACTCCCTGCTTTTCCCCCTTCTCCCCCCTCCTCCCCCCATCTCCCCCTCCTCCCCCCATCTCCCCCTTCACACCCCTTCTCCCCCGTTCTCCCTCCTTCTCCCTCAGTCTGTCTCCATCCTGGGTGGAAAGACTGGAGTCCATTCTTCCCCTAGAGGCACAATGACGTACAGCAGATCTCTAGAACATACCCATCGTACTTAACTGAAACTTTATGCTCATTGGTTAGTAACTCTGCATTTCCCCTCCTGCAGCCCCCGGCAACCACAATTCCACTCTGGTTTTATAAGTGTGACTGTGTTAAATACCACATGTCAATGGCATCGTGCAGGATTTGTCTCTCTGTGACTGGCTGGTTTCACTTAGCCTGATGTCCTCCACGTTCTCCCATGCTGGCACATCCTGCAGGATGTCCTTCCTTTTATAAGGTTGTTCCCACACCTTGGCTGTTACGAACTCTGCTGCAGCGACCATGGGAGTGCAGATATCTCTTCCAGATCCTGATTTAAATTCTTTGGGATAAATACCCAGAAGTGAGATCACTGGATCATGTAGTAGTTCTAGTTTTAGGAACCCACCCTACTGTTTTCCATAGTGGCCACACAATTTGCATTCCCACCAATAGAGCACAAGGGTTCCAGTTTCTCCACATCCCCTCCAATACCAATTGTCTTTTGTTTTTATAATAGCCATCCTGACAGGTGTGAGGCAGTATCTCATTATGGTTCTCATTTGCCTTTCCCTGATGATTAGTGACATTGAGGATTTTTTCATATACCTGCTTGCCATTTGTCTGTTCAAGTCCTTTGCCCATTTGTTGATCAGGTTATTAGTGGTTTGTTTTGTTTTGTTTTGTTTTTTGTTTTTGCTGTTGAGTTGTAGGAGTTCTTTATATATCAGATGTTCGGTTTGCAAATGTCTTCTATTCTATAGGTTGTCTTTTTACTCTGTTGACTGTTCCCTTTGCTGTGCAGAAGCTTTTCAGTTTGATGCAATCCCATTTGTCCATTTTTGGTGGTGTTCTTGAGAAAGGAATTCTTCAGGAACATTCTGAGCCACCAAGGGCAGCTTAGGGAGGACAGGGGTAGTGCCATGACCTGAGCCAGGGGTCAAGGTGTAGGGCACAGTCAGCGGAATCCGTGGTTGACCAGCCGGCCGGCAAATGCCTGGGAAACAGGACCCAGCAGGGACTCTGGTCCTCAGCCAGGGTCAGGAGGGCTGCAGCCCGGGTTGCCCCACTCAGAGCTCAGGCAAGGCCACGATTTTCTCCCCTCTAGAGCGGGTCATGAACCACTGGCAGGAAGACCTCATGTTTGGGTACCAGTTCCTGAATGGCTGCAACCCGGTGTTGATCCAGCGCTGCACCAAGCTGCCCGAGAAGCTCCCTGTGACCACAGAGATGGTGGAGTGCAGCCTGGAGCGGCAGCTCACTTTGGAGCAGGAGGTCGAGGTAGGAGCTGGTTGTCACGTGACTTCGGCCATGGCCAGCTCAGATGGCCAGGTCACACTCTGTAGGGCAGAAAGCACTTTCTGCTGGCCGGTGCTCGCAAGCCCTCAGGCCGCTGTCTCCAGGAGCCTCTGCCAGGCTGGTGATGAGATCAGCTGCCCTCAGTGAAGTGGTCTCTTCCTGTCCCTGGGCATTTATGGAAAATGTCTTGTCCAGTGTAGAAAGAGGTATTGAGGGTGAGATTTCTCAATGCTCAGAGCTGGGAGCATATCTGTATTTTCAATATCAATATCACTAATTGAAGGAGCTCCCTCTCAGTAGAGTCTAGTTGTGGGCCAGGCTTTGTGAGAGATGCTTTACATACACCGCTGTTGGATTGTCACCAACCTTGCAAAGGTAAGGAAAATGGAGAAAGAAGCAAGCCTTGTAGCAGCACAGGAAAAAGGGGAGAAAATGGTTGGAATTTTTAACTTTCTAATTAGAAATGTTGGTGTCTTCTGCTTCTGCCCTCACCCTCCTCCCAGCCCTCCTCTGGCTCACCTGCAGGGATCTGAGGGCCGGGGATGGCCCTTGCTCTCCAGTCGGTTGGCCTCTTCCACCAGAGTCAGGACAACAGGGGCCCCTGCCCTTGCCCGCCAGGTGTCTAGGTGGCCTTCTGTTTCTGGTCACCATGTCTTGTTTGCTCAGCTTGCCTTGGGGCCCCAGCTAGAGTCTGTGCCACCTGTGGACAGCCTCCCAGCCCCCACCTCCTGCCCACCTGACTCTAGAGGGCCGCCTGCCCAGCTGACCATCCCCTCCCCCAGGGCACACGGTCCCAACCCCTTCACCCTGGACCTGCCTGGGCCCAGGACACTACCTGGTCACATGGACAGCTGATGAGGACAACGCACGCCCCCCCGCCCACAGGCACATACACACGTGTGCACACACAGCAGCATTCCTTTGTAGATTTTATTTCTGGCCAGATTAACGTTGATTCGGTGGCTGTAGGTTCCACACTTCAAGTCAGAGAATCATACAACCTTGAAAGCCACAGAATCCTAGAACGGGAAGGGACTGCGAAGCTCTCTGGTAGGGGGACAGCTTCTGCTTGGGAGTCCTTGCAACCTCCAGGGCCTGGGGTTGCGGCTGTCTTTGTCACAATGGCCACCTTTCCTCTGAGTGATGGTCTAGAGGCTCAGCTGTGGTTTTGGTCACGAAGCAATAATCTAATAGCTATCACTGACTAGAGTCTTATACACCATCCATCTCTTATACACACCTCCCGTCTCTTACTCGCCTACCTCCTGTCCCTTACACATACACCACCCATCTCTTACACACACACCTACCATCTCTTACACACACACCACCTCTTACACACCTACCATCCCTTACACCTACATCTCTTACACACACATCTGTCTCTCACACACACACTTCCCATCTCTTACGCACACACACCTCCCATCTCTTACAACACAATTCTTTTTTTTTTTTTAAGATTTTACTTGTCAGAGAGAGAGAGCAATAAGCAGGGGCAACAGCAGAGGGAGAGGGAGAAGCAGGCTCCCCGCTGAGCAGGGAGCCCAACGTGGGGCTTGATCCTAGGACCCTGGGATCATGACCTGAGCCGAAGGCAGACGCTTAACCGACCGAGGCACCCAGGCGCCCCATAGCACAGTTCTTTGTTCCCTGCAGCAGTCATTAGGGCCAGGAAATGGGGCCTCTGCACCAAAAGGAGAGGACAGGGACACCAGCCAGGCAAGAACACCAGTGTCCAGTGCAGAGTCCCAGAACGTCGGAACTAAGAGATAAGTTTCCCCCTCAGTTTTCAGAAGGATGACCCTGAGACCCAGAGAGAGGAGGTGACTTGGGATAACAGAGCAGTGCCCCGGGCATAGGCCCAAGTCCCAGGCCTCCTGGTTCCCTGGCCTGGGTTCCCAGGGCCTCCTGTTAGCCTGGCATTCATCACCTTAACTAACCGGGGTCTCCTTGAGATTGGATTGGCAGCCACTTCTGTGCAGTACTCATGATGGTCATGTCCACTCTGAAAATCCAGTTGTCCAGCCCATGACAGGAGCCCACCCAGCCCTGAGATCCACCAACCCATGTGTCTCTGCCTTCTTGACGAGGTGATCCCAAGGGGCCCTGTCACAAGCTCTCCTGAAACCAGCCCCACCCCACACTCCTTCCCTGGTGAGCAGTGGGCACAAACCCCGTCCTCCCCACCCCTGGCCCACACACACCGCAGACAGACAGCTCAGAGTTCATCACTGGTGTCAGGTGACTGCCATGGTCCTTCGAGTCGGAAAAGGAGGCAGATGGTGTCCTTAGCTCCTGTCCGGCCTTTGGTCCCCCTTGGGGGGACTCCTGAAGCCTGCGGTGGGTGGCCCAGCACACCCTCCGCAGGCAGAGTTGTGGCCACACATCTCACCTGAGCACCTGGGGACCCAGCTCTGCAACATCGCAGACCCCCCTCCCCAGCTGCATCCATTACTCGCCCAAAATAAGAAAGGCCTTAGAAGAAGCGCCACCCGTCCTATCCCCAAATTCTTCAAATTCGGGCCTGAGTGGGCGCCAATTTTATGAAAGGAACCCTCACAGCACTCAGGTGGGACTCCCTGTAGAAGACTGAACTATATTCTGCAAAGAGTGGCTTTCTCCCTTCCCCGCATCCCAGGCACATTGTTTTTGGTTTTTTTATTTTTGTTGTTGTTGTTGTTGTTGTTGTTGAAGTATAACAACCAGAGAAAAAGAGACCGAACCAGGAGTGTCAGCAAGCCCAATGAATTTTCACCAAGTGACCCCACCGTGCCACCAGCCTCAGACCAGGAAGCAGAACACACCACCCAGGGACACAGACCCCTCCTGCCCCTGAAGACCTACCCCCCCAAGCCCTTAAGAGCCCCCCCCCAGGACCCTGCAGACCCCTGCTTCTGTAGACCCCACCCCTGCAGATGCCCCCTGCAGAAGCCTCCACCCCTGAAGACCCGCCCCCATTTCACCTCCCAAGGGTGACCCGGCCATGACGCTGTGTAAGTGGAGGCTGGCGGCAGCGCTCTTCGGGATTTTCATTCCGTTGTCTATTTTGTCTGCAGTCTGTCTGCTTCCTTATTACACTGCCACCCTGCGGGATTGCCCAGCATCTTCCATGAGGGCCAAGCAGCTTCCAGGGACAACACATGCAGAATGGGCCCCTGCCATTCCTTCACATTACCAGAAAACCACCACAACCTCTGAACACTCTGAATGTAAATCAGCCCAGAGTCAGAGAACAAAACTGCACATTCTGAGCCCTGATCAGATGCTAGGGGCCTCTGAAGCCACCTCTCCCTCCCCCTGGGCCTGGTTCTGGGGTCCATCTCTGGCTGAGACCGATGGGGCCATATTTCCTCTTGCCTCCTGCAGCAAGGGAACATCTTCATCGTGGACTTTGAGCTGCTGGATGGCATCGATGCCAACAAAACAGACCCTTGCACCCTGCAGTTCCTGGCAGCACCCATCTGCTTGCTATACAAGAATCTGGCCAACAAGATTGTCCCCATTGCCATCCAGGTAGGCTGCCTACCCTGCTCCTTTCCCAGACGGCTCTGCCCTCAGCAGCCAGGGCTTGGGGGGCAAGTTTTCTGGGTATCTGCACCTGAACCTCCAGGAGGAGGTGGCCACTCTGCCTTACGTCTCCCAGGGGCAGGGAGGGGGTTGCCGAAAGCTGAAGCTCTGCCAGGGGGACAGGAAAAACAAGAACTTAGGACTTCCTGTCAGCAGTGGCGGGGCGGGGGGAGGCTGGCCATGAGAAGCAGAAAGGGCTCCCCTCCCCAGGATACACTCGACAGATTCCTGCTGAGGACCTGATAACACACTACACCCCTCGCTCCCACCCAGCATCCTGACCAGGGGCCCCAAGTCAAAACACCAAAAGGGGCCTGGCAGTTGAGGCTGTGAGATGAGCTGGAGACTGAGGCCACTAAGGGGGTACCATGGAGGCTGGGGTCAGGAAGGGACCAGTCCTGCAGTGCTGCCTTCTAGTGCCTGTGGGTTCTCATTTCTGCCAAAGATGATAGAGGAGGAGAAAGAGGAGCAGTCTGGGGGAGAGGAGGCCGGGGCCGAGCTAACTCTCCCCGTTGCTGGCTGCTCTCTGCACCCCAGAGCACCAAGCACACTGTGAGCGCGGGTAAGCAGACAGCGGGAAAGAACACCCAGGGCAGGACCAGATGTAGGTCTGTGAAGGGGGCTGCTGCCCCGGGCCCCCGCGGGCGACAGGTTGGACAAGCAGGCAGCTGACTTGACTTTGAGCTAGCTGTGAACCGGGCGTTGAGTGCTATGGGCATAATAGCAGGTGGTTTGCCCCGTGCTAACCCCATGACAGGACTGTCCCAAAGGTTAGCCTGTGCAGTCCATAGTCCCTTACCCTCAACTCTGAAATCTAAGTAGCCCTAAAACTGCTAGGTTTTTCAAGTTTGCACCAAATTCACTGGCAGCAAAACTTGCTCTGAACCGAAAGGAGAGACTGTTTAGAAGCTTTGCCCCATCCAATGTGGTATGCATGTCTATCAGAGAAATACTGATGCGTTTGATTGTAAAATATTATGTTGCCCCAGACCCAGGGCGGGGAAGAGAGGTGTCATATTTGAAGTATATGCACTGCTAAAATCCTAAAACTTCTGGATTCTGAGACACTTGGTCATCAGGGTTTTGGCCCAAGACCTGGCTTTATTCATATAATGGTCATGACAAGCCTCCGAGGTCGGAGACTACTGCTGCGTGTCATTTCCAGCAGGTGAGAGAGCAGACACAGGTGCACACTGTCAGCACAGTGGGGATAAGTGCCAGGCCGTCTGGCTCTAGAGTTCATACTCCCCCCAGTCTCCTGGTCTCGGGGACACATCTTCCCCCAGAGGAATTCCCAGCCTAGCAGAGAGAAGCCCTATGCTTAAGAAACTGAAGCAAAAGGTAAAGGGACAGGCGACAGAAGAGAAGCAAACAGAACTAAGAGACTCAAGGAGAGGAGCTGTTTACCACTGGCAGGCACCCTGATGCAGCCCGTTCTCCAGAGACTTCTTGGAGTGGCCTGCAGTCAGGGACCTGCCGCTTGCTAGCAGATGTGGGACCTTTGGCAAGTCACAGTGTTCCTCAATCTCTTCCTTCTGATGAAAATGCAACCTTTGCAAACTATAAAGAACCATGAAAATGAAAGCCAGAGGATAATAAATCCAAACTGGTTCTTTGAAAGGTCCAAGAAAATCGATAACCCTGTCATGAAAGGAAAAAAGAGCAAAAATACACAAGATTAGAAATAAGAAGACAATTGCAAGGGTGTTTGTTTTCTTTAAGAGTAGTAGCATGGCAACAAACTTGAAAAGCTGGAAGCAATGGGTAAAAACCTGGCAAAATATAAATTATGAGAAGAAATTGCAGAAAACAGGCCAATATCCATATAAGCACCTGAGAAGCTGACTAAACACCTAGCAGAGTGAGGGGCCTGGGTGCTGAGCAGCTGAGCTCCATCCAGCCTTTACGCAGCAGACACTTGCTGAGCTGTTTCACCAGTTTCAGCTCCAGAACTCATTCTGGGAAGCTGGCATAACCATCGTGCTAAAGCCCCCAACACGCAGGTTCCCAAAGAAAGCTGAAGACCAATCCAAGTCCCAAACACAGAGTTTAAAGGAAATCCAAATGCAATTAAAGTGAATGCAGCAGTGTCATGAACGACTAATAGGTCATAACCAAGGAGGGTCTATTCCAAGAAGTTTCAGTAGCAAGAAAACTTCTGGCATAATTCGTGACATGAGTAAGGAACAAGCTTGTGGTTGTTATCAAGTGACACCAACAGGGAACTTAATAACATTTAGTAGCCACAACTAATAAATATTAAAATAGCGATGGAAGGAATCTTTTTCTCTGTTATAGAGACAGGAAACGTCATTCAAAAATGGCAACCCTAAAAAAATGGCAACCCTAAAACCATTTCTGTTATCATAAATAAGGATGCTGATGTCACTGTTGTCACTCAACACTGTCCTCGAGGTCCTGGCACCGGTGACAAGGAAGAAAATAATAAGCATGTGAAAAAAAACAGAAAAGACTACCTTTTGGTAATGATATGATGGTGGACCTAGAAAACCTAAGAGACTCTCATTTTTCAAAAAGCTAATAGAATTAATATGTGGATTTTTCAATGTGTCTGGATAAATAGACTCCTCAAAGGCACCAGTAGCATTTATCCACACTAACAATATGATATAATGCCATATAACCTGTAAAATTATTTTTTTAATAATTTTATTTATTTGAGAGAGTAGAGAAAGAGCATGAGCAGGGGGAGTGGGAGAGGGAGAAGCAGACTCCCCACTGAGCAGGGAGCCCGATGTGGGGCTCGATCCTGGAACTCCGGAATCATGACCTGAGCCGAAGGCAGATGCTTAACCGATTGAGCCACCCAGGGCTATAAAATGAAATCTTAACAAGTGCTTTCTTTCATATTGAACAAGAAAAGTTTATATCATAAAAATGTCAGTTCTACCATATTTAATCATACGGATTTAATGCACTTCCAATTAAAATTTCAGGCAGGTTTTCTCTTTTTTTTTTTTTGGTAGGGGGTGGGGGAGAGATGAAGGTGAGAACACAGAACAAAAGAATTTAAAAATTCATATGGAAAAAGAAGTGCTCAAGGATAGCCAAAAGTTTTTTGAAAGATTAAAAACAAGGAGGACTTCCCTTGCTCAATATTAAGGAGTACTGTAAGGTCACTGTTCACAGAAGGTGCTACCCATCACAGACAGACTTGGGGGGGCAGTATATAAAGAGGCCAGAAATAAGCCCAATAAATAAGAATTTAACGTATGAGAATGGTGGTTTCTCAACTCAGTGCAAAGGGATGGAATTTCAATGATGTAATCACAGCTGCCTTCACAGAAGGAAAAGATTAAATTGAACCCATGTCATATTATTTACAAAAATAAATGTCAGAGGAAATAAAGATTAAAATATAAAAAAGTAAAAAGAATTTAGGAGAACAATGTTAATATGGGTGCTAAGGAGACTTCTTTTAAAGTAAAAACAGGGGGCTCCTGGGTGGCTCAGATGGTTAAGCGTCTGCCTTCGGCTCAGGTCATGATCCCAGGGTCCTGGGATCGAGCCCCACATCAGGCTCCTGGTTCAGCAAGGAGCCTGCTTCTCCCTCTCCCTCTGCCTCTCTCCCTGCTCATGCTTTCTCTCTCTCTCTCTCTCTCAGTATCTCTGTGTCTCAAATGAATAAATTTAAAAAATCTTAAAAAAAATTTAAAGTAAAAACAGGAAACCAAGAAGTTATAAAGGAAAAGATAGCATATTGGATTACATAATGTTTTAAAAATTAAATGGTAATTAAGAGGGTACATGATGTAATGAGCACTGGGTATTATGTAAGACTCATGAATCACTGAACTCCACCTCTGAAATAAAAATGCACTATATGTTAATTGAATTTAAATTTAAAAAAACCCAAAGTATAATCCTCTCAAGTTTCTGTCTTCTACTGGAAGTATTTTATCATGACACTAATGTAAAATATTCAAATAAATATAGTAAATTCATATAAAATATGTAAAAAATTAAATGGTATAATACACCATAAAGGTAAAAGACAAATAATAGATAGGAAATAACTGCTCCACAGGGACAAAGGATGAGTATCTATAATATACACATAGTTGCTTCAAATTGATAAGGAAAAGACAAATATTCCAATAGAAAAATGGGCAGAGAATATGAATAGGCAGTTGATAGAAGAAGAAACATATGGAAAAAATCAGCATATGGAAAAGTTCTCCAGGTCAGTAGTAGTTAAGGAAATGCAATGCAAATTAGTTACAATGCGATATCACTTCTGACTCATTAGGTTGGAACAAAAAAAAAGAAAAGTGGTAACACCCAACCTCTAGCAAGGACAGCGCCTCCCCACCACTGGCCATGAGCAGGTTCATACTATAATAACTGGACGGGTCCGGGCAGCTCGCGGTCAGAACCTGGGCCTGCACCTGAGCCAGTCCTGCAGCACCTGCCTTGTGAGGTGTGCCTCTGAGGTTCTGGATTGCAATGGGAGCTCAGAGGGTCCTGAGGGTGGGGCTGGCATGGCCAGGGTGATAGGAAGGGCTCAGGGTCATGACTGTTCATCTTTTGAGTACCCATGCCATGGAGCAGGTATGTCCCAGCTGAAGGAGCATGGGGCAATATCTCCTAGAACAGCCCTTCCGGGCCGGCAGGCTCTCCTCTAGTGCCCGGTCTGTAGAGACCATAGAGATGCAAGCACTCACAGTAAGGGCACCACAAGCATTGTTCGTGGCGGGAAAACAAACTTGAAGACCATCTGAAGGCCGTAGAGAATTGTTTTCTAATCAGAAACAAAAAACTACTTCATTAACCAAAACACAAATTTAAAAAAAAAATCAAAAAACAAGGAGTTCAGGGTGCATTCTGGAGTCCCACGGTGTCACTGAGCCTGGACAGGAGTGGGGAGGACGGGAGGGTGTGTAAGAGGGAAAGGCCCAAGCCAGCGTGGCCTTCAAGGGAGAAAG